AAAACACTTCTGGGTCATCGTCCAGAGTCAATTTTGGCAATAAGCGGCTTACTCCGAAGTACCGTGTTTTGCCGGAACCATTCTCTTTATTCATCTGCTGTCTTTGTGGCACCGGCTGCATTTTTCCTCTTTGTCACTGGCTTCTCTGCTACTGCTAAAACAGCAATTTTCTGTGGAGAGCGGCTTGCTTTAGTCTTACTGTTGGGCTGCAAGGCTCTGCAACTGCTTTTGTGCCTCCTTATTTACTGATCTCTTTTTGCTGCAAAGCTTGATGCAGTTGTTCATTTGCCCTCATCCTCCACCATATGTAAGGACTAAGTTCATCTTAGTCATTTGCTCTCCTTCTCCACCATATGTAAGGACTAAGAGCCATCCCATACCATGTAGCTCAGCTGAGGAGTGTGTGACACTCCATAGAATATTTTACAACACTTGCAACCAAAAACAACAGTTCTCAGAGAAACACATATGCAAATTATTTACAAAGACTGCATATATACTATGTACAGGAGCTAAACTGAACAGAAAACAAGAAAAAAGCATGCCACTGGGTGACTTACTAACTTACAAGATCCCTGGCTAACAGACCTGCAGCAACCTTCTGCTGCCCAGGCATCTAACTTTCTGCATATAAAGTCCTTGTCACATAGGCTGTGTCTTGCCAAACATGAGCTGTATTTCACCATACAGGTAGTCAAGGCTGATATACACATAAAATATACACAGAAATTAGCTCCCAAGACTGATATGCACAGAAATCTGTTCCGTGGACAGAGCAAATCACTGAGCAGGCTGTGAGTTTATACAGAGCCCAAAACAACCTGATCTGCTTTTATCTGGGCTCATCTAATTTGCCAGCCCAAACAACCGCAGCCTCCTCACTTAATAAAAAAAAAAATGAACAAATTCAGCAAACAGAATGCATATACACATTCTTTCATGTTAAAATCTGATTGAACGTTCAGTTTAATTCGGCTAAATACATTCCAGATGCACCATAATAAAATGCCTTGAGTTCATTTTCTTTAGAAAGATGCCTTTCTATCGTGTAGAAATTGACAAGGATATTGCATTTTTGAAAGTATTCATCTCACACTGGCACAGTGCCTATTTGGTGTGTTGCATTTTAGCTGCATTACCATTGAACTTTATAGAATGTGTGTTTTGATGTAAATGCATCAAAGATGCGGCATTGAAGTTTTTTTTTTTTTTTAACACACTGCACCTTTAATGCACAGTTGTGAATGGGGTCTAACTGGTAAAATTCCATTTATTACATTTTTATTTCTGGATTTACATACGCTGTAAGAAATGGAAAGTGTGGGTTATAGCTTTGCGCTTAAAATTTCTACAAAGAGAGTGTGACATACTGTAGTTGTAAATCTATTAAGAACAGGCATTCCACAAAATATGAGTGACCATGCAAGCAGGAGACATAATCTTTAACTGTAAGTGGTATTATTTACTGGGCTGTGTATGGGGCTCTGTCTGCAAATGTCAGGAAAAATGGACAGAGGTACATATCGTTTTACAGGTAAAACAGTCCCGTATATGTATTCAAGCTTTGTGCTTTTGTGGTCATTTCCCAGGAATTCGGATTTAAATAACAGTGGAGGAAAGTTGCTATTTTCAGATATGGAAAGCTATTAGAGACTTTGGGGTTGATTTATTAAAAGCAAATTTTGCACTTTGTAAAGAATTTACAAAGTGCAATCAGTGGTCAGTCTTGCATCAGGAGTGGTTGTTCATGCCCAGATGTCCATAAAGGAAGTATGTGCATGGCTTTACCCATTAACCTTAAAGGTTAAGTTCACCTTTTGGACAAAAATAATAAATGTGCATTTTTTTGCTGGTGAAAAAATGTGCATTTATTATTTTTGTCCAAAGGAGCCTGGAAAGCATTGCACCAGCGATCAGTAGATCGCTGGTGCCATGCATATCTCATGCAGACCTGTCAGAATATCTGCTTGCCGTACAGGGATTTACGGCCAAGCAGATATTCTTATAGGAAGCTTCAATTAACTACCACGGCACTCCACAGCACCTTGGTAGTTCATTGAAAACTACAAGCCCACAGCCGCTAAGGCTGTCAGGACTTGCAGTCCATTCATTCATGAACAGAACTATACTAGTGCCTCTTTGTATAGTATCCCCAAAAAAGCAGTGTTAGTAGGATCAGCCCTGTTTTCTGTCAGCACTAGCATTTAGCCCCTCCGCTGTTTTTCACAGAAGATTTGTATCAGCAGTTCCACTGGCTGACAAAAAAATGCACCCCCTGCTCACACGCAAACACAAGCGGCGGTCTCATGGCGGTATGTAAACAGAGATTGCACCATGCATGTGAGGTATCACCACAAACGCCAGATCGAGTGCAGTAATTCTAGCCCTAGACCTGTGTAAATCTAAAGTGGTGACCTGTAAAGGATGGATTTTACAAATTGATTTACTCTGCGTATCATCTTTTTTATTTAACCACTTCAAGTCCGGACACTTTTACCCCCTTCCTGTCCAGGCCAATTTTCAGCTTTCAGCGCTATCACATTTTAAATGACAATTGCGCGGTCATGCAACACTGTACCCATATGAATTTTTTCAAATTTTTTTGAGACAGATGAAGCTTTATTTTGGTGGTATTTATGCACCACTGGGATTTTTATTTTTTTTGCTATATAAATGAAAATTCCAAAAATTTAGAAAAAAAGTGTTTTTCTTATAAAATTTTGCAAATAAATATTTCATCATAAATCTTGGCCAAAATTTATTCAGTTATCTTTTTAGTAAAAAAAAATAACCCAAATTAGTTTATAACCAAAAATTATAATTGAAAAAAAATGTTTTTTACATTTTTATTTTATTTTTTTATATTATTATTTTTTGGGGGGTTTTTTCTACATACTGTCACCCTAGCAGTACAGTGTCACCATGGTGACACTGTACTACTTATGGGGGGTGATGAAGATTTTTTTCTTTTTTTTTACACTGATTGCTTTTATACCCATAAAGGCTGTAAAAGCAATAATTTCTCCTTCTCCCTGGCTGCATTCTTGCAGCCATTGAGAACTACTGTGTGAGCTGTGATTGGTCACAGCTTGTCACATGGTACAATGCTGTTGTGAATAGCCTTGTACCATGTGACCTCTGTGATCATTCACAGATTTCACACAAAGTAAGCAATGATGTCAGAAGTGACATCTTGCTTACTACTTTGCATGTGATCACTGATTGGCCAATCAGTGATCACATGATTGGGACCTTGCACAGAGGTCCCGTACAACGATCAGTGTTCCACTGTGTCCGGAGGACACAGCGGGCACCGGATCGCGGTGCTGCGGGCTCCCAGGGAGCGTGCACAGTCCAGAATGGCGGGCACCGTTTATGAATGGCAACCCTCCCCTGGACTGCCACCGTTTGCCCGTTTATATACAGCGGCCAGACGGCAAGTGGTTAATCAAACAATTGGGCAATATATTGTGTTTTTGTGAAATAAAATTCTAAAAAGTGTATATTTTCCAAACAAAATTTGTTTCAAAAATCGCTGCTCAAATACTGTGTGACATAAAAAGTTTCAACACCCACCATTTTATTCTCTAGGGCCTCTGCTTTAAAGAAATTATATGTTTGGGGGTTCGAAGTAATTTTTTAGCAAAAACAAAATATTTTTTCAATTAAACAAAAAGTGTCAGAAAAGGTTTGGCTTGGTGGTTAGAAGAGTGGGTGGCCTAAGCTTCTAATGTTGGCCCTGAAATGCCAGGATAGTAGAAGCACCAAAATCCAAGGTATTTGCTAAGAGGCATGGTGAGTATTTTGCAGATCTCATTTGTTGCCACAAGTGTTTTGGAAAACAAAGAAAGAGAATGAAAATTTTATTTTATCTTTTCTTTTATTTATTTTCCAAACCCTGTGACAAAAATTATATCTGCAAAATACTCATTATGCCTCTTATCAAATTCCTTGGGATGTCTACTTTGGTAGCCATTTGGGGGGTTATTTGTCATATCCTGGCATTTAAGGTCCTCCAAAATTGTGATAGGTAGTGAGGAAGTGATATGAGGAAATGTGCCCTTTGAAAGCCTGGAGGTGGTCATTGGATTTTGGGGGCTTGTATGTGGCTAGTCTTCCAAAAAGTCCCACATGTGGTATCCCCATACCCTGAAGTAGAAGAATGTGTTTTGGGGTATTATTCCTTATAAACCCATGGCATGTGTTAGCAATATATAATTTAACTTACAACTTTGTGTAAAAAAAAAAATTAAAAAAAAATTGTCTTTTCCCAAAAATTTTGTGGCAAAAAATAAAATGTTCCATGGACTCAACATGCCTCTCAGCAAATTTCTTGGGGTGTCTACTTTCCAAAAAAGGGTAATTTGGGCGGTTTTTGTACTGCCCTGGCATTTTAGCATCTCAAGAAATGTGATCAGTCAGTGTGGCAGTCAGAAAGTAAAAGCTGCGTAAATTTCAATATACAGTATATACCATAGTTTGTAGACGCTATATCTTTCACACAGACCCATTAATATACATGTATTGGGATATTTTTTTTTTTTTACCAAAGACATGTAGCAGAATTCATTTTAGCCTAAATATATGACTAACTTTGAGTTCTCTATATATTTTTTTATAACCGAAAGTAAAAAATATCTTTTTTTTTTTTTTTTTTTTTTTTAAAATTTCAATCGTTTTTTAGTTAATATATAAAAAAAAACTCATCGGTGATCAAATACCACCAAAAGAAAGCTCTATTTGTGTGAAAAAAAGGACATACATTTCAATTGGGTACAGCATGGCATGACCACGCAATTACCAGTTGAAATAGCGCAGTGCCGAATGGCAAAAAATGGCCTTGTCATTAAGGGGGGTACATCTTCTGGAGTGCAAGTGGTTAAAATAGTTATTATAATTAGGTTTTACATTTGTGCTGAAAATTGCTGAATATTTGTGCTGCGAAATTCTGGATCATTATTTTCCGTTATCTCTTTAACTCTTTTTCTCTCTCTCTTTAGATTAAATCATTTGGGTGATTGGGGTACCCAGTTTGGCATGCTTATAGCTCACCTTCAGGATAAATTCCCCAATTATCTGTCTGTCTCACCACCTATTGGAGACCTCCAGTCTTTTTACAAGGTATCTGTTCACATATAATTTATGTATTTTTTGGGTCTAGCTTAAATTTGTTTAATGCTTCCCACTTTCTCCCACTGGTCTCTGAATCCTTGTCTATTTCTCTTATTGTCAGCATGAATCACACAGTCCTGCTCTCTGTCACAAATAAATACCGTTATACTACTTGGCTAATGTTTTATATACTGCCAGAGCAGCATATTTGCATGTATTTTGTTACATAGGTATAAAAAGGTTAAAAAAAAGACACAGGGAAATTGAATGCATCCTATGTGGATGTGATTTTTATTCTTTAACAATTTCCATAGCCCTGTGCATTCTGCTTCCTGAGGAAGACATCTAAAAGTTTACCCTCAACTAGTACCACTGTCTTGGAGAGAGAGTTGCATATTATTAGTTCTCTAACAGTAAAGAACCCTTTTCGCAATACAAGGTTACACCACCTTTCTTCTAACTTCAAGCCATGGTTTCATGTCCTCTTCAGGGACCTTAGAGTAAACTGTTTTACAGTTACTGAAATCACCTTTTAGTTATTTGTACATTGTTATCCTATCCCCTCTTAATCGCCTCTTTAAAATTTAATTAATCCTCATTGCTGAGGTCCTTATTCCCCTTTATTAGCTTTATTGCCCTTCACTGGAATATTCAGCAACGTCTTTCTTGATGACTGGGGACTAAAACTGTGCATATCCAAGATGAGGCTTAATCAGTGTATTCTAATGGAGTAGAATTTTCGCTTTATCCCTTGAATGCATGCTATTTTTAATACATGACAGTGCTTTGTTAGCTGTGGCTTGGCATTGAAAGCTATTGTTAAGTCTGTAATGTACAAACCCCCCCCCCCTGAGATACTTTGTCATCACTGCTTCTCTCAAGTATGCCCCTCCTAATGTGTAATTTGCATATGTATTTTGGCACCCAAGTGCACAACTTTACATTTTTCAATAATGAACATTATCTGCCATGTAGATGCCCAACCCCAAATTTTGTCAAAATCTTCCTGTAATGATATTCTATCCTGTCCATAAGTTATTTCCCTGCATAATTTGGTATCATCAGTAAATACTGAAATTGAGCACCTAATTCTGACCTCTATACAATCAATAAAAAAAAAAATTAACAGCAATTTGTTAAATGCTTACAGTAGTATTAAATGGTGAAAGGTGTTTGTCGATGTTTTTTGCAGTCCTTCTAAATAACAAATACATTCATATTACCTAGCTGTCCTTTTAATTGCAGGGGTCTTGAATTAAAATTCACAGAGGTCCGGTCAGCAAAATTTCCTTACAGCAGAGGTCCAAATCTCGTTAGCGATATAACATGTCCCCTGCTACATTATGATCTTTATTGTACCTTTTCACACTGTAGTCCCCTCTACATCACAGTCCCCTCTTTAAAGAAGTCGCACAGTGTTCTCATTTCCCCTTCACATCTGTGCCCCCTTTACATCACAGCGCCCCTTAACAAAACACAGCATCTCCTAACACAATGCCCTTAACACAATGCCCCTAACACAACACAGTGCTCCTAAAACACACAGCACCCCTAACAATACAGCGCCCCTTAACACAAAATGCCTCCTAACACAACAGCGCCACTAACACAATACAGCACTCCTAACACAATACGTCACCACTAACAACACAGCACCCCTAAAACACACAGCGCCCCTAACACAACACAAAGCCCCTTTTAATGCAAGCCTTCCCTTGGTACCTTATGCAGGGCAGAGACACTAATCCTTCTGGGGTGTCCTCTCCTGGGCCTCCAGCCTGCCACCAGTGTCGTCCTCAAGGTGAGGGGGAGTCTTGTCCAGACCTTGGCCGTGCCGCCACCGCTGGTGCTGGGTGTCGTCTTCTGGGCCTCCCGTCTGGCCGCCAGTGTCGTCCTCACGGTGGGCGAGGTGTGGGGGACTCCGGGTTGGGACTGGGGGGCTAGAGCTGGTGATTGCCTGACTTGTTGGTGTGTGGGGACTTCCGCTCTCTGCAGCTCGAGGCGGGGCCAGCCCACTTGTTGACATGGTGACTTGGGCAGCTCCCGCCCCTCGGTCCCCATCTGCAGCTCCTCACACCCCGCCCGCTGTGGGGATGGCCTCGGTGGCTGGGCGGGGGCCCTAGGGAGGGCACCTGGCAGTGGCTTGGTCACGGTCCGGATGGGACTGTCCCTCAGTCTGGTTCCGGACCGTGGTCCTCCATTTAGTGGTTCTAGTGTGTTTCCACAGTATACCAACAGAGAGAATATGATAATTCCTTTTAAATTTTTACAGTTCACTGAGAGAGCATTTAGTACATATTGTAGAAGGCTACATTTAGCAAGAATTCTAAGAGCACTGGTATATAGTACATTAACGTGTAATTAAATGTACTATGTTGTTTGAATTAAAATAAAAATGAAAGCAAGTTAATGTGTCAAGGTTCTACCTTTCCTCAGGGCTTGTTTTGCTCCATGTGCTGGCATCCATCTAGGTGTCTGCAAATCATTGTGGGATCCTTTATGCTTTCAGCCCCCTGCGGCTCCTCCCCCAGGAGGTGGCAGCTTATCACATGTAAGTCTGCTGTTTGTAGCTCTCTATTGCATTCGTGTCCTGTCTCTTGCACAGCAGCAAGCTCCCGTTTAGCTACTCATTGCTTTCCTGGATACCGACTCGGCTTTGGCTAAGACTCCTCCTGGCTTCTGACCCCGTCTCTAGCGGCGATTCTTCCTGGCTCCTGATCCCGGATCTGGTGACGTTTCTTCCTGGCTCCTGATCCCGGCTCTGGTGACGATTCTTCCTGGCTCCTGATTCCGGCTCTGGCAACCATTCTTCCTGACTCTTGTCTTATTTTGATATTAATAAACCAACCTTTAATTGCACCTCCTTGTGTGTCTGGCTCCTTGCTCCCTGACACTACATGAATGCCATGAATCCTGACAGTGCAGGTATGCCCTCGCTCCCTATGTTGATTGCCAGACTTGATCAGAAGGATCTCTTGTTGGTTCAGTTCGCTCAGGCGTTGCAGACGCTGCTTGCACGCACAGCGCACCTTACTCCTGGTGCTATTAGGCCGGTTGTCACTCCTGTGGTCACTCCCGCTGTTGCTCTGGTTGTTGTGCCTACATCTGCATCTGCTGCCACACCTGCGGTGCCCAGAGGTATGACTGGTTCAGCCCCCCTTCCACAGAGCTTTGGGGGTGAGCTGAGTCAGTGTCAGGGTTTCCTTAACCAGGTAGGCATATATTTTGAATTGATACCCCACGCTTTTCCTACGGAGAGGTCAAAGGTGGGCTTCCTAATCTCGCTGCTCTCGGACAAGGCCTTGGCCTGGGCAAATCCCTTATGGGAGAACGATAACCCTGTGATTCACGAGTTTGCCGGTTTTGTTGCCTCCTTCCGTACGGTGTTTGATGTGCCTGCTCGCTCCGCCTCTGCTGCTAAGCTGCTCATGTCCATGCATCAGGGTTCACGAACCGTTGCCGGGTACGCCATAGAATTTCGTACCCTGGCGGCAGAGGTGGGTTGGAACAATGAGGCTCTGGTGGCTGCTCTCTCTCATGGTCTCTCAGATGCGTTGAAGGACAAGATTGCAGCCAAAGAACTGCATGTGGAGCTCGAAGCACTCATTTCCTTCCTAATCCTGATTGACACCAGGCTCAGGGAGAGGCCTTCACTTAAGGAGCGTCTGCTGTGGCCTCCTAACCGATTGGCCCCTACGTTTTCTGTCCCACCTGTTCCTCCCTCTCCTCCCACGCCTCCTGGGGATGGCTTGTCTGGCGGTGAGCCCATGCAGCTGGGGTTTGCTCGCCTTTCCGAGGGGGAGCGGGCCTCTCGGCGTCGGGAGGGTCGCTGCCTGTACTGTGGTCTCAGTAGGCATTTTTTTTAGCAGTCCTGTCCTGTCCGTCCGGGAAACGCTTGCACCTGAGATCCTGTCGGGGGCAGATCTTGGGTGGAGTTTCCTCGTCCCCAGTTTCCCACAAAGATAAACCGCTAATCACCGTTGTCCTCTCTTGGGCGGAAGGCTCGGTGACGGCCCAGGCGTTGGAAGACTCTAGTGCTGGTGGGTTGTTTATGGACAGTTCGTTTGCTGCCCAGTACGCCATTCCTCTGTAGGCTCGAGTTACTCCATTGGTCCTCGAGGCGATAGATGGCAGGCCCCTGCAACCGCCGCAGGTTACCCACAAGACCGTGCCAGTTGAAGTAGCTATTGGGGCTGTTCACAGGGAGTTGGCCTGTTTCCAGGTAATTTCTTCCCCACACTACTCCGTGGTTTTGGGATATCCCTGGCTTCAGAAGCACAGTCCGACCTTTGATTGGCAGTCGGCTGAGATTCTCTCGTGGTCTCCACAGTGTGGGGCCGCTTGCATCGGTGGACCTGTTAAGGTATTGTGTGCCTCCTCAGACTCTGTGTTGCCTACTGACTATGGGGAGTACCTGGACATGTTTGACAAGGTGCGCGCCGGTGCTCTGCCTCCTCATCGTCCATACAATTGTGCCATAACCTTACGACCCGGTGCCACTCCTCCACGTGGCAAGGTGTATCCTCTTTTGGTTGCGGAGAATCAGGCCATGGAGGAGTACGTTGCGGATGCGCTTTCCCGGGGGGCATATTCACAAGTCTACTTCTCCAGCAGGATCTGGCTTTTTCTTTGTGAAAAAGAAGGGCAGTGAATTGAGGCCTTGCATTGATTTTAGGGGTCTCAATCGAATCACAATTAAGAATGCTTACCCAATTCCGTTGATTACCAAGTTGTTCGACCGCCTCAGGAGAGCAACGGTTTTTACTAAACTCGACCTTAGGGCTGCGTACAACCTCATACGGATCAAGGAGGGTGACGAGTGGAAGACCGTGTTCAACACCAGAACCGGCCACTATGAATCCCTGGTTATGCCCTTCGGGTTGTGTAACGCGCCGTGGTCTTTCAGGAGTTCATTAATGATGTCTTCCGTGACTTGTTGCAGCAGTGTGTGGTGGTTTACTTGGAGGACATCCTGGTTTACTCTGCGTCTATGGAGTCTCATATCCAGGATGTTAAGTGGGTGCTGCAACGGTTATGTGAGAACAAGCTTTTCTGTAAGCTCGAGAAGAGTGAATTTCACCGATTCCAGGTTGCCTTTTTGGGCAACATCATTTCCGCTGTGGGATTTTCCATGGACCCTCAGGTTTCGGCGGTTCTGCAGTGGCCTCGTCCCAGTGGTCTTAGGTCCATTCAGCGCTTTTTGGGATTCGCCAACTATTATCGGAAGTTTATCAGGAACTTCTCCACGCTGGCCAAGCCTCTCTCAGATCTGACCAAGAAGGGCAGTAATCCCCACGAGTGGTGGTCTGAGGCCATCTTAGCTTTTGAAGCTCTGAAATCCGCCTTCGCTTCGGCTCCGATACTGTCTCAGCGTCGGTCGCCCAATGGACCCCTACTTCCCTGTTGGTTCTACTCCAGGAAGCTTTTCTCCGCAGAATGCAACTACCAGATTGGAGACAGGGAGTTGTTGGCCATTATTCTGGCTCTCAAGGAATGGAGGCACCTGCTCAAGGGTTCTGCGGTTCCGGTCCTCATTCTCACTGAACACAAGAACCTGACGTATCTTTCGGAAGCTAAGAGGTTGATGCCCCCGTCAGGCCAGATGGACTCTGTTCTTGTCACGTTTTAACTATGTGGTCTCCTATTTGCCTGGCTCCAAGAATGTCAGGGCTGATGCCTTGTCGCGGCAATACTCTGAGCTGTCTAGGGAGGACCTGGCTGCCATTCGTACCAGCCTGACTTCTCCCCTTGGGGAGCAGAGTTTGGCGGCTCAAACTGATGCTCCCTCTGAGAGACCGGCTGGTAGATGTTTCGTACCTGAGGGATTGCGCACCCGCTTGCTGCGTACCTACCATAATTCCAAGACTGCCGGTCATCCAGGGAGGAACCAGTTGTCCTGGGTCGTTTCTCGTTTATTCTGTTGGCCATCTCTCCGTTCCGACATCGCCTCATATGTAGCGGCATGTTCCGTCTGTGCCCAGAATAAATCTCCTCGGCATCTTTCATTAGGCCTTCTGCAACCCATTCCCAATGGGGAGCGTCCCTGGTCACAACTGGGCATGGATTTTATTGTAGACCTCCCTGCGTCTCGAGGCCATACGGTCATTCTTATGGTCATTGATCGTTTCTCCAAGATGTGCCATTGTGTTCCGTTCAAGAAATTGCCAACTGCGCAAGAACTGGCTACGGTTTTCGCCAGGGAGATCTTTCGCTTGCATGGGTTACCTAAGGTGATTGTCTTGGACCGTGGGAGCCAGTTTGTGTCCAGGTTCTGGCGCACCTTTTGCTCCCAGTTGGGTAACAAGCTCCCCTTCTCTTCGGCCTACCACCCACAGTCCAATGGGGCTGCAGAGCGTTCCAACCAGGCCCTGAAACAGTTCCTTCGCTGCTATATCTCAGACCATCAAGACAATTGGGTCGATCTCCTGCCATGGGCAGAGTTTGAGAGGAACTCGGCTGTCAACTCCCTCCTCCTCCGGGATGTCTCCCTTCATGGCCAACTATGGGTTCCAACCCGCTGTATTGCCTGAGTTGTTCTCGCCACAGGACATTCCGGCTGTGGATAACCATCTTGCTGCCCCTGCGTTCCTCGTGGGGGCAGATCCAGAGGTCCTTGAAGGACTCAGCTCCAGAAGCTCCAGACTGATCGTAGACGGTTGCCCGCTCCTTCATACCAGGTCGGAGATCGGGTGTGGTTGTCCACTCGTAACCTCAATATTCGGGTGCCCGCACCGAAACTGGCTCCCTGTTTTGTTGGTCCTTTCCGCATCCTCCGCAGGGTGAACCCGGTTGCCTATGCCCTTGCTCTTCCTCCTGGGATGCGTATCTCCAATGTCTTCCACGTATCCCTGTTGAAGCCTCTGGTCTGTAATCGCTTTACTGCCTCTCCGCCACGGCCTCGTCCTATCCGGGTTGACGGTCATGAGGAGTATGAGGTGAGCCGCATCCTGGACTCTCGGTTGGTCCGTGGTCGGGTGCAGTTCCTGGTCCATTGGCGTGGTTATGGTCCCGAGGAGCGTTCCTGGGTTCCTTCTGCGGATGTTCATGCCCCTGCCCTCCTCCACGCTTTTTGTGCCCACTTTCCCCAGAAGCCTTATGTTGAGCCGCGGAGGGGGAGGGGCCCTTGAGGAGGAGGTACTCTCAAGGTCCTACCTTTCCTCAGGGCTTGTGCTGCTCCATGTGCTGGCATCCATCTTAAGTGTCTGCAAATCATTGTGGGATCCTTTATGCTTTCAGCCCCCTGCGGCTCCTCCCCCAGGAGGTGGTGGCTTATCACATATAAGTCTGCTGTTTGTAGCTGTCCATTGCATTCGTGTCCTGTCTCTTGTACAGCAGCAAGCTCCTGTTTAGCTACTCATTGCTTTCCTGGATACCGACTCGGCTTTGGCTAAGACTCCTCCTGGCATCTGACCCCGGCTCTGGCGACGATTCTTCCTGGCTCCTGATCCCGGCTCTGGTGACGATTATTCCTGGCTCCTGATCCCGGCTCTGGCTACGATTTCCGCTGTTGGACTTGCATAGACTCTTGTCTTATTTTGATATTAATAAACCTACCTTTAATTGCACCTCCTTATGTGGCTGGCTCCTAGCTCCCTGACATAATGCAGGCCATGCCTTAATGGTGGGTAGCCAAAAATAGGGATATTGTAGGGATTGTTACAAGTTTGTTTAGTAAGAAAACATTTCCTGCAGTAAAAGCAACTACGATGTATACTATTGTACAATTTTGTGTATCCAGTATTTGTTTTTATTTTTCAAATGCAGGAATCCAAAAAGAGGTTTGATGAGGATGAGGAATTTAAAAAACGAGCATATTCCTGTGTGGTGCAGCTACAGAGCAAGCAATCTGATATCATAAAGGCATGGAACTTGATATGTGAAGTCTCCCGTAAAGGTAACCTTCATTCATATCCTTCTAGAATTAAACTTTTAAATATGTTAAAGGATAAGTTCACCTTTAGAGAAAAAATAATAAATGCATTTATTTTTGCAGACAAAATATGCCTGTATTATTTTTTTTTCCCCCAGTAGCCTGCAAAGCTCTGCACACATGATCAGTGGATCACAGTTGCAATGTCAGCTTTCTTGCCCATGTCTCTATACATGCTTTTTGTTTGAAAGCTGGAGGAAGTGTCATTGGACAACAAGGGGTTCATCAGAGCTCATTAGCTACAGTGGAAGACGGGACTTGTAGTTTCTTCATTCACGGTTTACTGTGAATGAGCGATGCAGTTCTGCAGGCAGAAGGCCTGTACAGTCTAGCCGCTTTTAAATGTGAAAACAAATGCATGGGAGAGGAACCCCTACCCACTATCACAGGAGGTAGGAGTTGCTACAGCATTTAAGATTTAACACCCTAAATACAGGTGTAATGTGCTCCAAAAGTGAACTTGTCCTTTTAATTGTTTGACCTGAGGAAGCTTTTGTAATTCTACTAGCTAGTCTTGTAATAAACATTACTGTTACACAGTACAGCCTGATCTGGCGATTACTATATTTATTTGCTCATGGCTCTATGTTTAAAAGTAAACATGCTTTAGGGTTCAGCCAACCATTACTGAGGTTTTAGTTATAAATAATTGTTGGTGGGTGGGTTGAATCACCCACTTCTCTATTCTTATGGTTACTCCATGGTTCTCAATCTTTGCCCCACCCAAAAGTAGCAGGAAAGCATTTCAAATTAATTGAGCTTAGAAACAATTGAATAATTTTTTTTAAACTGGCAATGATATGTTTTTCTATGTTCTGATCATTATTGCCATTAATGTACTGCAATATCGCAATGTATTATCCACTTGCCACCTGCTAACAGTACATTTATTTCTACTGGGGGGCACAGCCAGGCTGAGAGACATATCAGTAAATTGCTCAGCACTTGCACATTGGCACTCCCCTTGGGCATGCAGCGGTGCAATCCTGTGACCGCTGTGTCTGGTGGGCACGGTGGATCACAGGGCTCAGTACCTGGCCAATATCATGTGATCACTATGTCCCATCATAGCGATCAGGTGATAACTTATAAGCAAAACTGACAATGGCTTCCATTCATGCCAGCTTGCTTACTATTTTGTTGCTGTGATTGGCTCACAGCTATCACACGGTACCTGGCACACTGTACCATGTGATTAGCTGTAGCCAGTCATAGCATCACTATAGTAAGTAAGCTGTCATTATTGAAAGCCATTCATGACCGTTAAAACTATTGCTTATAACAGTAATCATCACTGTTATAAGCAATAACAGTTTAAAAAAACTAATTCCTGATCACCCCCCTAAAGCAGTGCAGTGTTATTATGGTGACATTGAACTATTCTGATGATGGTAAAAAAAAAAAAAAATAATAATTAGAATTTATTTTTTTCCCTTACATACCATCACCAGTCAGTATCCCTGATCACTGCCACACTAGTCATATGATGATGGTGTACTGCACTGGTGACAGTATTTAAAAAAAAAAAAAAATTTATTTAATTTCTTTATTGTCCAAAAAACTGTGACAAAAAAATTACAATTTCAAAAAACTCATCATGCCTCTTACTAAATACGTTGGACTGCCTGCTTTTCAAAAAGGAGTAGTTTGGGGGGTATTTGTTCTGTTGGGGCATATATATATATATATATATATATATATATATATTGTAGACTGATTTGGGTTATTTTCACCAGAGAAATGTAGCAGACTACGACAAATTGGCCTAAATGTGTGGAGATTATTTGTTTCAAAATTTTATAACAGAATCTTAGCAAAAACTTTTTTTTTTCAACATTTTTGGTATTTTTTTCAGTTACAGTATATAGCAAAAAATAAAAGAAACCCAGTGGATAAATAAATAAAGCTCTGTGTGAAAAAATGTATATAAATTTAATTTGGGTCCAGTGTTGCATGACCGAGCAATTGCCAGCTAAAGTAGCACAGTGCTGAATAAATCCTTAAAACATCCTGGTGATGAAGGGGTAGAACTGAGTGAATGTCAAGTGGTTAATACATTTAGGCTGTTAATCTTACGTTTTCTATTTGATCGTCCAAAGAATATTTTTGGTAACCAATGACTACAGTTTTCTGGTTGAATCCAAATATTGTAGTAAAATTTGTAGAGAGAGAATCACATGGTTGTTCTTTCACCCCAGGTTGAAATTATATGTAAATATCAGCCAGTTTTTCTGGTTGGCAGCCTGCCCCCCTCTTCACTGGTCTTAAAAATCTTAAACTGCAATCTACAAATAAAGGGAAAAGACAGTTTGTATCGTTAAAAATTTTCTTCGATCTAGCAAAATTGTCAGCTGAAGTGTTTGTAGAAACCACCACTTTCCAGTGTCACCCACTGCATTCTGTGGTTCCTCCTGTCAATCCATACATCACTACAGACCAGTCCTATACAATATGTACTATCCCATAAACACAGAACCTGTACATGCAGCATATGAGTACAAATCTCAGGATATTGCTTTACCAGTATGACCAGTGATGTATGTTTAGTCAGTTTTACACTGTTTACAGGGCTTTCCACACTTTTCAATCCAGGATTTGCATGCTTTTCTGTATTCTATTGTAATGGATTCATTGTGAGGCTGAAAGAAGATATTATTGCAGTGAAATAATAAATGAAAGCATCAATTAGCTACATTAGAATCATATTTTGATGCCTGTCATTCTGCTGTGAAACCTTGAATAGTTTAGTTCAGCAGAATAGATTATAGACTACAAACAATAGCCGCTGATCACTTGTGTTTCTGTACTCCCTATTACCTACTGAAAATGTTGATTGTCAAATAAAATTTCTTAAAATTGTTTTCTGATTGTGACAAACCTATTTTGAAATAATTGTTTCTTGATTGTAGTACTTGAGAGAGAGTGCAACAACACTTTTTCTTTCTTTTCTTTGTTTATTGAGGGACAGAGGAAGTCATTTAACTCTAGAGTTTTAGCCCAGGTTCACACTGGATCCGACTTTGAAATCATGCGACTTCAATTGAAGTTGCATGATTTCAAATTCAGATGTCAAGTCGACTTGGAAGACATCTGTGTGACTTCATGCACAGATGTTTATGCAAATCACACCTGAAATCGCAAAAAGTAGTGCAGGAACTACTTTCAAAATCAGTGCAACGCCGACTATGTCGCACTGATTACAACGGTTCTATTGCCGATCATAGGGTACGACATTGTCAAATTGCATGACAAGCTGCACCATGTGAACTAGGGCTTATTGTTGTTTACAGGAGGATTGAACAATGGCAGACAAAAAAAAAAATCCCAGGATAACCCCCTCCTACTACCAGCATGCCTTAGTTTATTGCTAGTGTCCTCGGAAGATGGACATCTTTCCTTCACCTTTTTTTTTTTTTCTTCTTTAACCTCTTGCCGACCGCGCATAGCCGAATGACGGCTTCACCGTGGCCGGCCAGTTCTGGGTGGACGTCATATGACGTCCTCCTAGAACGCGCTCTCCTGGGGCGCGCACCCGGCGATCTCCGTGATCGCTGTGTTACGGACACAGCTGATCACGTGATGTGGTAAAAGGCCAATCACAGCGGCCTTTTACCACCTGATCAGCGGTGTCCAATGACACGCTGATCAGAGGGAAATGCAAGTGCCGGTTCTCGGCTGCACTTTCCTCACACTGTCAGATCGTGAGGAAAGTACTGCCGAGAACCGGCAGTTGTCAGAGCGGGGATCGGCACCGATCATCAGGGCACTGATGATCAGTGCCCTGATGATCGGTGCCCAGCAGTGCCACCCGCAAGTTCCGCCCAGCAGTGCGCCCGCTAGCTCCGCCCACTCGTGCCCAGCAGTGCACCCACCTGTGCCCAGCAGTGCACCCACCTGTGCCACTCTGCAGTGCCACCTACCTGTGCCCAGAAGTGCCACCTACATGTGCCCAGCAGTGCCACCCACCTGTGCCCACCCACCAGTGCTGCCCACCAGTGCAGCCCAGCAGTGCTGCCAGTCAGTGCCACCAGTCAGTGCCCAGGGGTTGTGCCAGTCAGTGCCGCCAGTCAGTGCCGAGCAGTGATGCCAGTCAGTGCCGTCTATCAGTACCCATCATCAGTGTCACCTATCAGTGCCGCCTATCAGTGCTGCATATTAGTGCCGCCTATCCGTGACACCTCATTAGTGCTGTCTATCAGTGCCGCCTATCCGTGACACCTCATTAGTACTGCCTATCAGTGCCGCCTATCAGTGCCGCCTATCAGTGCCCATCAGTGCTGCCTCATCAACGCACATCAGTGAAGGAGAAAAAATGCCTGTTTGAAAAATTTTATAATAGAAACAAAGAAACTTTTTTTTTTTTTTCAAATTTTTTGCACTTTTTTATTTATAGCGCAAAAAGTAAAGCGCCCAGCGGGGAGTAAATACCACCAAAAGAAAGCTCTATTTGTGAGGAAAAAATGATCAAAATTTCATATGATTACAATGTTGCATGACCGCGCAATTGTCAATCAAAGTGCGGCAGCGCTGAAAGCTGAAAATTGGCCTGGTAAGGAAGGGGGTATAAGTGCCCGGTAGGCAAGTGGTTAAATCAAGTCTATTCTGTACATTGCTGCTAAAGCCAGTTCCTCCAGTTGCAGCTATCCTGCACAGCTGTCTGCCTGGCTTTCGGAGTGCCATGTCTGGACCTCATTGGACTTAATATTACAAGATTAACTTGGAAGTGAATTTAGGGTCCTTTACAGACTTCATTCTGGTAGAAGCCGCTGTGTTCTTTCCAGGTCCAGAGCCTCCCCCCCAATCCTTACCTGAGCCCCCTCTGACCCAGCGACGTTCTCAACAGCTGTCTGGGAACTCTTCCTGCTCATTGGCTGAGACAGCAACAGGAGCCCATTGGCTCCCACTACTGTCAATCATGTCCAGTTAGCCAATAAGGAGAGAGGGGGGGGGCGGACGGGCGAGCTGTGGCTCTGTGTCTTATGGACACTTAGAGCAGTGGCTCAGGAACGAGCATGCAGTTGTGTCTCCAGGGCGAATGGCTTTTCCTGGGGAGCACTGCTTGTGGGGGAGGATTAGGGTTGCTGTGTGCAAAACCATCTATCTTGGTGGATTTCCAATCCAGCCTTCACAATGGGAAATTTCTACCACAGCCCTGGAGAGTGATAACAGACTTCAGCCTCACATACTGGAGTGTTCCTTTCCGCTGCCTTTGACAGAGTCGACCACCCCGCTCCTCCTCAGTAAACTCCACTCGCTTGGCCTCCATGACTCTGCTCTCTCCTGGTTCTCCTCTTACCTTTCTCAGCGCACTTTTAGCATCACCTACAACAACTCCTCCAATGCTCTTCCCCTTTTTTTGTTGTTGGGGTCCCCAAGGCTCCATCGTTGGGGCCCCTCCCCAAGGCTCCGTCCTTGGGCCCCTCCTTTTGATCTCTCTCTCCCCAGCTACCTCTTCAATGTCCTCCTTAAGTCTGGACACAATTGATAACCCACCATAGCTTCCAATACCATCTCTATGCTGACGACACTCTGATCTATCCATTTCTCTGTGTGAATGAATAATTATGGTGAATACACTCCCACTTGCTCTCACCTCTTCAATGTCCTCACAAAGTGTATCAAATACCATATTACAAATCATTTCCAAAATGCTGTGAATGATACTTATGGTGAATACTTGTGAGCTATTATGACCAGGTGTTCAATATTTAAACTATACCACTAAATGCTAAGTGACATGGTAAATCAGTATGGATGTCACACCTACTCCCTCAAAAGCATCAATCTTTAAACTAAAACAGTCTTTGAAATAAATGTAATATTTGTTCCTCCTCCCCTAATGGTCTCACCACTATTTGCTCAAAATACGCTTTTTATCCTTCCATTATAGATCAACAGCTCTACAAGGTGGACCATGTGGATGGATCCTTCCCTTTATCTCCCTGTGTATCTATGAGTACACTGAATAGCTTCTTGGGATCTCCCAATTCCCCTCCTGGGGTTGCTCCTCGTTCGCTCCTCCTTATATCAAATTCCCCCTGATGAAGTCACGTGACCCTGTGACGCAACGTGTAGGGGAGGGGCTCTGACGTCACGACATTGCACTGGAGAAGCGAGCAGATCCGAGCACAAGCACAGGCAGACAGCACTGCAGGGGCAGCTGCAGAGAGGTTTCTTTTTACCTACTTTTTACCTGCTGATTGCCATCCATGCCTGTTTGGATCATATATGAGCTGCATACCATCAAGTTATACCTGTTATTGGCAGAAATAAATCCATCTTGTGTATAAGGATAAGACACTATGGTCTGCTTTTTCCTCTTTTTGACCAAACATCCCATCCATCATGAACTGATATAAGGAGGAGCGAACGAGGAAACAACCCCAGGAGGGGATTGGGAGATCCCAAGAGAGCTATTCAGTGTACTCATAGATACACAGGGAGATAAAGGAGATAACAGGAGGATCCATCCACATGCATGTCCACCTCATAGGACGGCTAGAGCAAAGGCATCATCCCATTTCATCTATCCTGGAAGGATAAAAAGCGTATTTGCCTGGATTCATTCAGGCAAATATAGAGGTGAGCATATAAGGAGACCATCTAGCACTCGGAGAAAAGGAACAGAATATCCACCTGCACATTTATTTCAAAGACTGTATATATATTTGTTTAATATTAGCACGTGCACATATGCTTTTGCACTATCAATATAGAGTATACACAGTTATATATAGGTGCAACATAGGTTTATACCGTGGCACCCATTAAGGCACTATTGCTTTAGGATTATTTACCATGCATGCTATCTATATGTATTATTTCATATGCATTTAGTGGTATAGTCACAGTTCATATTTTCTATCATTTCCAAAATCTGCTCCTTCCTGACTAATGACACCACAAAACAACTTGTTCATATCCTACCTTCACTACTGCAACTCACTCCTCACTGGCCTACTGTTACACAGGCTATCACCCTTCAATCTATTTTGAAGGCTGCTGCTAGACTTATACATCTTACCAACTGATCAGGGAGTGCTGCCCCTCTCTGCCAATCCCTTCACTGGCTTCCGCTGACCCAGTGTATAAAATTCAAAATAATAACCACAACATACAAAGCCATCCCACAACACTGCCCCTAGCTACATCACCAACCTCATCTGCAGATATCGTCCAAATTGCCCGTTCCGCTCCACCCAAGGCATCTTGCTGTAGCTCTCTCGTTACCTCCTCCCGCACTTGCCTTCAGGACTTTTCCAGAGCTTCTCCCATCCTCTGGAACTCCCTACCCCAGTATGTCTGGCCAACCCCCACCCTGTCTGCCTTTAGGCAATCTTTGAAAACTCATTTATTCAGGGAATCCTAGCCCACCTCCATCTAAGAACTGTACTTGAGTCGCCTCTATCAGATTATCCCATGCAGCTATCACTTTTTGTACCACCACAGATTGTAAGCTCCATGAGCAGGGCCCTCCTATTCCTTCTCTACTGAACTGTATTGTAATTGTACTTTCTCCCTTTAGATTGTAAAACGCTGCGCAAACTGTTGGCGCTATATAAATCCTGTATAATATTAATATCTCTCACAGTTCAGGGAACATGGGGAAACCAAACTTCCCAATCAACATTCTGGAGCTCAGAGCAATAAGACTAGCTCTGAATCATGTGACCTCTCCTTTTAGGTCACCCACTTATGATACAGTCAAAAAATGCCAGGCTGAGGCCTCTATCAACCACCAGGAGTCAAGTAGCCTTAATGGAAGTAAGTCTGATCATCTCATGAATGAAGTAACACTGTCCAGCCCACCCTGCTATTTGAAGCTCAGACATGGACAGTTGGACGGCGGATTTACCTGAGCCGTTACCAGACCAAGGGAAATGAATCCTTCATCCTGATATCTTTAATCTCCTATGTCAGAAATGTGGAACTCCAGATGTGGACATCCTGGCCTCCAGGTTCAACAAGTTACCCCTGTTTGTAGCCAGGACCAAGTACCCTCTAACAAGAGTATGCTCCGAGCAAGAGAATATTCATTAAACCAAATTGGTCCCGAGGAACCTCAAACGTCTAGCAGATGAGCCCTGGTCTTTCCCAAAGAGGCCAGACCTGCTGTCTTGGGGGCTCCTATTTCATTATGCTTCAGTCACTGGCTTTAACAGCATGGCTATTGAAAGCCAGGTCTTGAAGAACAGGGTAATCTTTGACAATGTTCTTCCCACATTGCTAAAAGCAAAAAAAAACAATTAAAAAAAATTATTATTGTACCTGGGAATCCTTCTTTGCTTGGTGAGAGACAGAAAAAAACCTCTGGCTTCATTTTCCCTTGTAAAAAAAAAAACCTTTATTGAAGGTGTTTCTCAGATTAGACCACCCTTACAGCACCATGGGCTTCATTGGATTCAGCCTTTCCTTCCATATATTCACAGTGAGTCCAAAAAAAGAATTTCGACTTACTGGTAGTAAGTCCATAGTTTGGAATACAGGATAGAGGTCATACTTTCTTCTGTTCTTTTGGTACATTACATTGCTTGCTAAAAAAACTGAGGCCTTATGGGCAGGGGTTGTGTTAAAATAGTATGCTTGGGGGTGGGGGGGTTGCGTGACCAGCAAAGCTCTACCAGTATCCAACAACCTGAAGGTATCAGGCTATAACCAGGGACTGTGAACATTTAGCCTGTGTCCCATATTGTATTTCAGGATATCGAATTTACAGGTACGTAAAAAAAAATCCTTTTTTTTTTTTTTTTTTCCTTTTTTATGGTACCTATCATAATATTTTTTTTCGTAGTTTATTGAAGGCCACATGCCACCCTCCTTTGTGTTTATAACCATGCTTGGTACTACTGAGGCATGTTGTGAACTGGAGGGGTTATTCTGGGCTGACCTATGAATTTTATTTTGCCAGTGTCCTCTTGTAGGTGGTAGTATAACACAATAGTAGCTGACTTCTTGTGTCCCTGAATGAATTCTAAGAAAGCATTTTATGGTGATTTAAAAGAAAAATCCACTCATCCTGTATGCAGCAGTATAACCTGTAGATGATTGAGTTCCTGTGTCTTGTTTGTTTATTTTAAAGAATATAATGATTATTCTTTGTGAATGCCCCCTCTAGGAATGGCACACTTCTGCTTATTGGCACATTTCTTCTTAACTACTTCCTGACTGCGCTATAGCCAAATGACGGCTAGAGTATGGTCGTCATATGATGTCCTCTCAGGACACCCCCCATCAGTGTTTTCCTGTTGGGCGAGGGACGAGGCAGGGCTGCCCGCTGTCCCCGGCGCTCTTTGTCCTGGCGCTTGAGCCACTGGCTTTAGCGCTCCGGACCGACTGCAATGTATCGGGGATTCCATACGCGGGACAGGAGTTTAAGCTGAGCCTCTTTGCGGACGATGCCCTCTTGACCCTTACTAATCCTCTGACGACGCTTCCTAATTTGCAACGGGTTCTTGAGCGCTTTTCCTTGATCTCGGGTCTACGTATTAATTTGGATAAAACCGTTGCTCTCAATATTACTTTGGCTTCAGATTTGGTTTCGCGCCTACAATCCCACTTCCCTTACCGGTGGGCTTCCTCTTCTCTTGAATACTTGGGCATTCGCTTGACCCCCACCTATGACTCCCTTTTTGCTGCAAATTATTATCCTTTGCTTAGCTCCTTATCTTCTCTTATGCATTCCTGGCAATTTCCGCACCTGTCTTGGATAGGACGGGTTCATTCAGTGAAAATGACCATCTTGCCGAAATTGTTATATTATTTTTCGCACCCTCCCAGTGCAAGTTCCCCCTCATTTTCTTCGGTTGCTTCAGGCGAAGTTTATGCGTTTTATCTGGGCCAATAAGCATCCCAGAGTTTCTAGAAATACGCTCTTTGCTCATAGACTTCAAGGTGGTCTTGGGGTACCCAATGTAACTAAGTATTATCAGGCGAGCCAAATTGCCCCGCTGTCTATGTTGCACGCTTCCTCCGATGTTCCTCTCTGGGTCCTGCTGGAACTGCCTAATTGTGCCCCTATCGCACTATCGACACTTCTATGGCTTCCCCCTGCCCTGCGCCCTACGGCGCTGAGTCCGATGTTGCTCCATGGCCTACGAGTCTGGGACTCGGTACGTTACTCCAGTGGTTTGATGTCACCTTTCTTGCCCTTGCTTCCAATCGTTAATAGCCCTCTTTTCCCGCCGGGTCTAGATCACCCGAGGGCATTTTCTTGGTGGGTGGCTCATGGTTTCTCACAGGTGCGACACTTTTTGATTTTTCGGTCCTTTCCCACCTGGAATGTCCTCCGGGAGTCTCGGGATGTTCCCCCAGCGGAATTGTTTCGGTACCTTCAATTGCGGCACTGGCTACTCTCGCTGAGGGCCACTTCTGCTTTCCCATATCAGACATCTGCCTTTGAACGGCTTTGCCAGCAGCGTCCGGGCGCCCCGGGCCTTATCTCCCTTCTTTACGCAGCTTTGAACAGATGCTCGTCGCACACTTCTCTTTCATATGTAGTTCAGTGGGAACGCGACCTGGGAGTGGCTGTGGATCCGGAGGACTGGAATAAAGCCTGGTCACTCATAGCTAAATGTTCGTTTAATACGTCCACGCTGGAAGCAGCCTATAAGGTATTGTTTCGTTGGTATTGGGTGCCGGCTCGTTTGGCCCAGGCTAACCCTGCCTGTAGTGATCGATGTTTTCGGGGTTGTGGCCATCGTGGCGATGTACTGCATATCTGGTGGTCATGCCCGAGGTTGGTTCGTTTTTGGTCTCGTGTGTTTGGCCTCCTTTTCACTTTGTTTCATCTCTCCATACGCCGGGATGCTCGGTATGCTTTGCTTCATTGCCCCATACCGGGCCTCTTGGCTCGTCAGCAGCGATTGGCTTCCTATTTGTTTTTATCGGCCACTAGGACAATTGCCCAGGCCTGGAAGAGTCCGTTTGTACTTTTTCAGGGGTGCGGGATCGTATGACTACTATGATGCTCAATGAACAGATGTCGAGTATATGCAATGACTCTCAACATAAATTTTTGAAAATATGGGAACCGTGGTTGCAATATGCCTTTCCCACGCTCCCCCCGGCCAGTGTAGGGAGGTGATGGAGTTTTGTATTGGCGCTCATGGACCCTTGCTCTCTGGTGTGTGTTTTTGTTTTTTCTCTTTCTTTCTTCTCTGCTTTTCTTCTTTCCTTTTCTGTTTGTTTTGATGTGACAGTGGACAGCTGTCTTTAGTTGCGATAATCTGAGTTTCACTGATGTTATTGTAACCTATGTGCCATTGATAGCCCCTACGTGGGCATACGTTTTGCCTTATTGGAATTAGAGCGTTGTCTGCTCTATTATACATTTTCTATCGGTGCAATTGATAGCCCCTGCGCGTGGGCGTGTTTTGTTGCCTCTGTTTTATACTGTTTAAAATTAATAAAAACCATTGAAATACAAAATATTTGTAGCATGAAGTTTTAAGTTTTAATTTTTGGCTTTTAGAATTTCAGAAAATTTATGACTGTCTGGATATTCGCATCATCGACCGAGGGGAATCGTACTATCAAGAGAAAATGATCCAGGTTGTGAAAGAATTTGAAGAGAAAGGTCTGGAATATATATTTATAAACACAACATACATTGCCGTTTATCTTTCTGCTCAAACACAATAAATAGTGAAGAAAATCTTCTTCTATTAAAGCACTTCAGAATAGCCCAGACAAAGGTGCAAAGCTTGTTATCATACAGTTATTGACTGCTGTCAGTTCCTCTACAGAAATTGTAACTGTATTTGCTTCAAGGCAAGGGAGTCATAAATATATATCACATTAATTGGTTTCACTTGAGAAAATAAAAATTACCGTTGAAGTGGAAAGCTGATAAATCTGAATACAAGGCATGGTGTGTGTTTTGTGTTTTGTTTGTTTTGTGTTTTTTTTTGTTAGTTTGCTTTTTAACTCTGGTTGCTTTTTTCAATATATATATGTGGTCTTTTAGTGTAAGAACAATTGAGCACTGTCCGTGATACTTTTTTTTTTACTATTTGCACAAACATTCAGTTTTTCAGGTCAAGGTTTTCGGGGTGTATCTCCTTCTTCAAAGCTAAAGCCCATGCATGGACAGCACACATTTATTTTTGTTGCAAATGCATTAATACAGCTACAAATACCTAATCTTTTAGTGCAGCATGTGCCTGGTAAAACACAGAGTTTTGTGTTTTGTGATCTATAATTGTTCTTATGTTTACTAGTGACCCAGAGTTAGAATTACCTAAGTCACTGAAAACCATGCAGATTTTAGCACCACACAGTACTAGAAGTTGTTATGCTTAATAAAGATGTACTTGTAGTAGTGATTAGCCTATGATTGCCTTCCCAGTTTTTGGTAATGTTATATCTATGTGGACATAGTTTTTCCTTTCACCCTAAAGGTCTTTTACTAAATCAAAACCTGTCTGTTAAAATTGGTCTGCAACCCCTCCCTCACATCTCACTGGACTGGCTGCTGGAAATGATGGTAGCTCCATTGTGAACAATAGGAACATATAATTGAGGTCTATAATTCAAAAATTATTTTTAGGGTTTAGCTGAAGGTATGATCCAGACATGTATTCCAGCCCCTGAAGCAGAAGCATTAATCCTTATTACCGTTTGTCATCCCTGTGTTTCTTTCAGCGTTCATTAGGGGACATAGTTGACTACTGGGTGTGTGTCCTGCCATTCCTCTTTGTGGGTTATACCCTCCTGCACAGCTAGCCAGCCAGCCTCAGTTTAGATTAATATGTTAAGGCAAAAAGAATGTACAGCAGGTAAAATAAGTATTGAACATGTCACCATTTTGTTTGGTAAATATACAGTTGTGCTCAAAAGTTTGCATACCCTGGCAGAAATTGTGAAATATTGGCATTGATATTGAAAATATGACTGATCATGCAAAAAAATGCTTTTTTATTGAAGGATGATGATCATATGAAGCCATCTATTATCAAATAATTGTTTAGCTCCTTTTTAAATCATAATAACAGAAATCACCCAAATGGCCCGGATCAAAAGTTTACATACCCTGGAATGTTTGGCCTTGGTACAGACACCCAAGGTGACACACACGGATTAAAATGTCACTTAGAGGTTGCAATTAGTGTCAGTGTATAAATAGTCAATGAGTTTGTTAGCTCTTATGTGGAAGCACTGACTATGCTAGATACTGAGCCATGGGGATCAAAAGTCCTGCATAACAAGGTAATGGAGCTTTATAAAAATGCAAAAGGACATAAAAAGATGTCCAAAGCCTTCAATATGCCAGTCATCACTTCCACTAAGAAGTAGAAAATTCAGGGACCTCTTGATACCAAGTTCAGGTAGACCAAGAAACATTGCAGCCACAACTGCCAGAAGAATTGTTCGGGATACAAAGGGAAACCCATAGGTAACCACAAGAAAAATACAGGCTGCTCTGGAAAAAGACAGTGTGGTTGTTTTGAAGGAGTGCAATATGATGACACTTGAACAAAAATGAGCTGCATGGTCGAGGTGCCAGAAAGAAGCCTTTGCTGCATCAATGACACAAAAAGGCCTGGTTAGGCATGTCAAGGTGGCACTGGCTGGGTGACAGGGCGCTCAAAGAGTTAATAGGGGTGCTCAAAGGGTTAAATGTGCTAATCTACCGTGTGTGTATAAAATGTAGTCCTGTTACTCAGTACCGTGTTTTTTTTTTAATTTCTTTTTTTTTTTTTTTTTTTTCAAGAATCAGAATAAGTAACAATGTACTATTGTGTGGGGTGGGGGGTGACTATCGGTGAATTGAGTTTAGGTTTTTGACAGCTCAAGATAGGTGGATCTGTGATTGGCTAGACTGGCTCATTCATGTTAGAGGGTGTGCTGTGTTTGAACCCCATCTCATCATGTGACAGCTGTGTGGGCCAGTCACAGCTCACTAGGAGTTTTGCAGTAGCTGTTATGAATGAGATTGATTTCATAACAAGCTTTGCTTGCATTGTGATTAATGTGATTGCATAGGGTTCCCACCGGAATCTTCATTCAGTCGCATGGGTGGGAGCTCTTTTGGCGTCCCGAGGTTCCCCTGTAGCTTGCCACCTAGCAGCAGTACATTGCGGGACAGGCGTGGGGTGGTTTTAAACAGGAATTTTACCCATGATTTTTACAATTTATTGTAGAACAGTTTTATCTAAAAAACTTATTTTGCCATTTCGATTAATTGCTTATAAAGAGTTATAGCTGAGATGTTTGTTTTATTTTGTTTGGTGCGTACATAAATCTGCAAGTTACATCTAACAACAATTCACCCCCAGACTGTCAATATGCTGTCCAAAGGGTGCCCCTGTGCTCATTCATCCAGGGTGGAGGCACTCTAAAACATATGGGTGTTAATAGCCAGATCACAGGGGTTAAACTGGCAAAAAAATGCTAAAATAAATACTAATTCAGCCACCACTTCTAGTATTGGTAAGCTACAATACATGACATTTTTCAGTTTGTGGCTTTATTGTCCTGCTTTAAAGAATGCAGAGGCTTGTCTTTGAGTCTGTCATTTCTAATGAACTGCTAAAAGCAAGAAAATAATGCCATTTCCAGAAAGATCTATCGTATCTGGAAATCCTGCTTCTGCTAGGAGTACAACACAGGAACTTCATTCCCAGAGATTTTCTCCTGTTGCCTTGTCATTCTGGCCTCCCTAACATGTCTTAGTAACCCAAGATACTTGGCACTTTTGTAAACCTGAAAGGACAGTTTTTCATGTCTGGCAATCTTTTTCATAAAAACCTCTGTCTTTTCACTTTGCTTTCAAAATTCTTTATGTAAGGTTGTAACTTGCATCTCGTGCCCCCTTTTGCAGCACCTTGTATTTTCCAATGTTGGTTCTTCCTGCTTTGTGCAGAAAACTACTCACTTTGAACCATCAGGGAAATCCTAAACCTGCAAGACTTACCTAACAGTGGGGATCGAAAGTTTGGGCAACCCCAGCTAAAAATTTGTATTTATAAAGAAGCCAAGGAAAGATGAAAACTCTCACCTAAAGGCGTCAAATTTTTCAGATTAGACCTGCATTCTATATGTCAACAAAAAGTTAGATTTTATTTCCAGTCATTTTACACTTATGGGGAAAATAAACAGAAAACAAAAAAATGGTATGTGTCAGCTTCAGCAAATAGACTTGGGCACCCTGCAGATGATTTATGCATGCACTGCCCCCTTTTGCAAAGCTGAGACCTGCTGCCAGTGTCCAATGGATTGTTCTTCAACCATGTCTGGAAGAACCAGGTGATGTCAATCTCCAAAGGTTTTAAATGCCAGAATACACTCTGACCTTGCCCCAAGTGTCAATCAGACACAGGGTTCTTCTAAGCAGTTTACGTCACTAGAAAACTGAAACTTGAAAATAGTTGACGCTCACAAGAGCTACTGGAGAAGGCTATTTAGAAGATAGCAAAGCGTTTTCAGATTGGTCAATAGATCCTCTGTTCGGAATGTAATTGGAGAAATGGGCAGTCATTCAGGAACAAGTGGCAGGTTAAAAGCAAGATCTGGGAAGACCAAGAAAAATAGACAGAAATCAGCTCGCAGATTGTGAGAAAAACAATTCAAAACCCACTTTTGACTGCACGATACTCCAGAAAGATCTGGCAGTGACACTGGAGTTGTTGTACACTATTCCACTATAAAGAGATACTTGTACAAATATGGTCGTCATGGGAAGCAGTCATCAAAGAAAACCTCTTCTAAAGTCGTCCAACCACGTGCTTAGCAAAAATCTTCGTTTGAAGCTTTGCAATGTATGAAACATATAGACAAGCCTGATGCATTTTGGAAACACGTTCTTGGTGGACCGAACTGAGGTTTATTAACAATTTGAACTTTTTGGCCGAACTGAGCAAAGGTACGCTTTGGAGAAGAAGTGGCACAGAATTTAATGAAAAGAACCTTTCATGTCCAACTGTTAAGCATGGGGTTGGATCAATCATGCTTTGGGGTTGTGTTGCAGCCAGTGGCACAAGGAAACATCTCACGAGTTGAAGGAAAAATGGATTCAATAAAATTTCAGCAAATTTTGGGATGGTAACTTGATGCCATCTGTGAAAAAGCTGAAGTTAAAGAGAGGATGGCTTCTACAAATGGATAATGATCCTAAACACACCTCGAAATCCACGGGGGATTACATCAAGAGGCGTAAACTGAAGGTTTGCCATGGCCTTCACAATCTCCTGACCTCAACATAATTGAAAATCTATGGATAGACTCTTAAAAGAGCATTAGTGCGTGACAGACAGCCCAGAAAATCTCAAAGAACTAGAAGACTTTTGTAAGGAAGAATGGCAAAGAATACCTCAAACAAGAATTGAAAAAGACTCTTGGCTGGCTACAAAAAGAGTTTACAAGCTGTGATACTTGCCAACCAAAGGGGGCAGTACAAGATATTAACTCTGCAGGGTGCCCAAACATTTGCAGACACCATTTTTTTGTTTTCTGTTATTTTGAAAAGTGTAAATGATGGAAATAAAATCTAACTTTTGTTGACATATTATAAGAATGTCTAATCTGTAATTGATGCCTTTTGGAGATTTTTCCATCTTTCCTTGGCTTCTTTATGCACATTAAATACAAATTTCTAGCTGGGGCCGGTGCCCCAAACTTCTTTCGATCCCCACTGTATATGGTCTCTATGATATCTGTCAGACTTGTCATCTCTGAATAGGTGTCTCTCTCTTGTAAGGAGCCATTCTCTTTTTCACAATGACAAGGTATAGTCTTACGCCCAAAACCATGCGCTTTCCTCCTTAGGTGATAATCAGTTCTTCTTCCTCAAGACCTAGTCCTACCATCCTTAAAGCCCTTCTCCAAACACGCCTAAGGGAAATTATTCCATTCCATGCCTAGATCTAGTCAGAGTCATAAGTCTACCTTGAAAGCAACAGGTTCGTTCAGGAAGATGGGCTTCCTATTTTTGCTGTCCCCAGCACCGTGCAAGGGACATCCTTTATTCTGAAGGATGAGATATTTGATCACTAGAACTTACACTGTGTTACAAATATCCTCCTGAACTTTTACTGCCCATTCGACTAAGTCTGTGGGAGTTTCCTGGGCATTCCAGCGCCAGCCATCTGTAGCCAAGACTTGTAAGTCCATCACCTGAACTTTTGTTCATGCCTTTTTAAAGTCCTACCAGGTGGACGTCCAGTCTCCTGTGGGTGCTGCTTTCAGCTACAAAGGCATTGGTTTGTCCCCCCTAAAAATGTGCTTCTGTATTGTAAAAGTAATTAGCAAATGAATAAGGTCATGGCTGCGTTGCTCTTGAGCCTAACTGACATTTAAATGTACATTTGCATTTCCATACAATTAACTGTATAGCATTTTTTTTTCTTGTAGGTCTCTTAGAGCTTGATGAAGGAAGAAAAGTTGCTTTTCCTCCTGGGTGTACCGTGCCTTTAACAATTGTGAAATCTGATGGTGGTTTTACCTATGATACATCTGACCTGGCTGCTTTAAAGCAGAGACTTGCTGAAGAAAAAGCTGATATTATCATTTATGTGGTTGATAGTGGACAGGTGAGACAATGAAGACGGCCATCCCCATAGTTTGGATAATATAAACTGCAATGAACTTAGTTACAAAAACTGTGTTAAATGTTGTCTGCATCTAGACCAGGGGTGGGCAAACTTTTTGACTTGAGGGCCGCAATGGGTTCATATATTGGACCCGGGGCCGGACCAAGAGTAGATGAATGATGTGTATGTGTCATCCATAGTAAGTATAGTAATATTCCCCCATAGTAAGCATAGTAATTAATCCCCCATATAGTAATTCATCCCCCATATAGTAATTCGTCCCCCATATAGTAATTCGTCCCCCATTTAGTAATTCATCCCCCATAGTAATTCATCCCCCATATAGTAATTCATCCCCCATAGTAATTCATCCCCCATATAGTAATTCATCCCCCCTATAGTAATTCATCCCCCCTATAGTAATTCATCCCCCCCTATAGTCATCCCCCATATTAAGTCCCCCCTGTGTCAATTCACTTACCTTTGCTCCGCGCGGTCCTCTCGCCGTGTTCCCGCGCCGTTCCGGTGTAGCATGAAAATCTGTCTCCTATGAGGATCTGTCCCCCTCGATGTATCTGCGCATGTGCCAGTTTCAGGCATTAGCAGCCGATCGGCGATCTCCGGCACATGCGCAGATGCGTCGAGGGGGACAGATCCTCATAGGAGACAGATTTTCATGCTACACCGGTCTTCAGGGCGGACTGTGAGAGGAGCCTAGCGGGAGCCTAGCTCCGCGGACCGGATTAAAAGGTCCGCCGGGCTGTATACGGCCCGCGGGCCGTAGTTTGCCCATTGCTATCTAGACTAACCATTTAACACAACCCACTAGCATTAAAAACCCTTTCTGTGAAAAGCATGTTGTTCATGGAATTCCTATGGCTCCAACAGTCATACACATGTCTAACTTTGCAGAAACAATTAGGTCCTATACTGTATGTGGTGACTCTCATGCATGATCAGTATTGGAGGTGGGCACAGGCACAGCATAACACCCAGTGTTTCCTAGCAATCTTAAAACAAAGCTGTGGTCAGGATAATAATGTTTCATTATTAACATGTTCTTAACAAACAGTAAGTAAAACAAGATATTACAGACCTCTGTATCTGCAGACACTGTGGAGTAATCTGTCCTCAGTTTACAGCAGATGCGCTAAATTGTTTCAGCAGCTCAGTTCTCTCTCCTTTCTCCTCAAAGGCGTGTCTTGCCAAACTTTAGGACTTGTAAAATATAAAGAGAGGAGCAGAGAGCAGACATCAGTGCTTCTGCTGTGAATGTTGAGAATTATTTGTTCTACATTGTGGCCAGCTACAGAGAAGACCCTCCAGTTATGATTCTACGGATGGTAAGGCAAGGACCTACAAGCCCAGAGCATGACAGGGCTGACAGCCTCAGGTCACCTTGTTCCCTCCAGTACCTGAGTTCTCAATTTCAATCCAGTTAGGTAGGCTACTGCACTATACAGAGAATATAAAGATGATTATAATATGTGGCCAGCTAGTATTACAATTTCTTTTAAATATGCTGACTACTGTCTAATGTAAGGACATGCTTAAATATAAATGAAATGGATTAATTGGGTAGAGCTTCACACTACATATTTGTTAACCGGAATTTATAATCTTTGATATTATGTTGTGCATAGAACTACCTTAGGTGTGACGAGCACTTAAAATTATCTGCTGTTTTCTAGGCAGTACATTTACAGAATGTGTATTCAGCCGGACAAATGATTGGCTGGTATGACCCAAAGGTGACAAGAGTGGAACATGCTGGATTTGGTGTTGTTCTAGGTGAAGACAAGTAAGTAAGACAAATACACTGTACAGACCTGTTTACAACCGTGCTAAAAATGAATGCAATTTAATTCAGTATTTAAGTATACATTATAGTGCACTATAATGTTTTTCTTTTTTTTTCAAGCCTTTGCAGATTTTTTTTTGTATGTGTTTTCCAGAGAGTTGGACATTTTTTGTACAGCTCCATGCAATAAAATGTATGTATTGTGTGTTTAATGCAGTAGCATTCAATATATATGTTCTATCTGGATGTTGCAGCAAGTAGGATTTTGTAAAAAATAGGTCCCCTTTTGCAAATTGAACCACTGCATATGATGGCACAAGACTTCCCATGCAAAATTAACTGCAGTAAAGTATAGATGTATAAACAGATCTTTAAAGTTTAGTACTTCCTGTTTATTTACGTACACCTGTGGGTTACACAAAAGCCAAGACCTGCAGCTGATGGCATAAGTTGCCTGCTCATATCTTTTTGATAAATTAGTTCCCAATCTGATCTACCAATTGTTGTGCCTATTAGCTGAAAGTCTTAATTTATAGGCTTGAATTATCCATAGGTTTGCTTATAAAGACACACTCAAAATATATCACTAAGCCTGATGGCCCCTACATCTCTAGCATATTTGTGCCATGTTATTATGGAAGGTTTACAATTCAGGAGCCTATAAGCACAGAAAACTTGGAGGCCATACATTCAACCAGCAGGTTCCACTCAATGTGGATGGGGGAATCACTACAGCTGTGCAGGAGTGATACAATGAACACTGATTTTTCAGGAAAAACCCGACAAGTCAATCAATAGATCCCCTGAACCAAATTAATTTTAGATCCGTGTATGGCCAACTTTAATCCTATTGTGGTGATAAAATGGAATTTGTTCCAGCCAACGAAAGTGGAATTTTCTGCGTCTGTCACAGTTCCTGCAATTTTTTGCAACCATGTCAGACTTTCTTGGGCAACTAATGGCTTTAACACAACCATTGCTTTCCAGAGCTCAGAAGCAGTGTTGGCATGAGGCTGGGGTAAGGAATCTTTCTCAGCCTCCTTTATGGCTGCATGGCATATGCTAGTCAGTGCAGATATGCGCACTTTTTTGTGCACAAAAGTCTCCACATTGTCAGACTCTATCCTTCTCTGTTTTGCCATATCTCTTTGGTTACGATAAGGCCTGCTAAGTCAGCCTAAAAAGACTTTCCCTATTCATAAACAAAGAGAATGGGCAATTTATAAGGATTTGGTTAATCCAAAAAATCATTGTTAATCTTAATCCAGTTGAAAAAGAGTTCACTGCCCTCTGCCTTAGGCCTACCATACATGGGTTGAAATTAGACTGATTTTTCATCCGAAAATCAGACCTAAGAATAATCGGCCTATTTTCGCTCTGTTAATGGGTCAATGGTACCGGCCGATTTTCATGGTTCCTCCCCTTTTCGGTGATCAGGCATGTTGGAAAATTCGTGAAAAACAACCAATTTTCGACTCAATGATGGTCAAATCGTACGATCATTTTTCCGAAAAGAATTTACGCATGAGCCGTGACCTGGAAGGAACAGAAGTTTTGCCTGTTGTATGGGGTGAACGTTATGACTTGGTCAGCCAATTTTTTAAATCATTGATGGCACCATCGGATTACCGAGCAAACGACGTTTTCGATTTTCGGACGAAAAATCGTTAGGAATTCAAACCATGTATGGCCTGTATTTGTCTTTTGTGTTGATTCCCTAGAACAAGTCATGACTTGGATCTCCAGAATAGCTCTCCTCTCTATCCATATGCGCAGAATCTTATGTCTTAAAGCCTGGTCAGCTGAAGTTTATTCCAACTGTCGCCTTAGATATATGATCTTCAAATGAGAGTGTCTGTTTGGTGAGGCACTTGACGCATTCACAAAAGATGTCACAGGAGGAATAGAACTCCTTCCACAATAGAAAGTTCCAAAACCCTCTACTTCTGGAGTTTCTAACCCCTCAAAAAGTAGTGTGTCCCATTTATCTATTCAGGCTTCATTTTCCAAGCTAAAGTTCAGTCCTTCATTTTAGCTTATGACAAAACCTACCAAGTCCTCCCCAAAAAACCTCTTCACAATGAAATGGTGCCCTCACTCCTAAGAGTTCATAGATGTCTGTTACAATTTACCTTTCTCTGGGTCGCAGATGTCCCAGAACTGTGGGTTTAATCAGGGATTTCAAAGGGGTACAAAATAGAGCTCATCCTCATCATTTTCTTCAGATCTGTATATTTATTATGTTTTTAGTAATATTTTCATCATATGAAATTTACGAAAAAGAGAAAGACAGAACTTTAATATAAAGCAGAGCCCATGAGTACTAAAAAATACACTTAACAGCATAGATATGGCTCTTGGTATAGATTGCTTTAAGAGAATTAAAACAACGTTGCAGATTTAAAAATAAGCACGTTAAGACATATATATATGCCAAAAAGAAAAAGCTTGTATAATTAAGGTGTTGAATTGTAAAAACTAATACTAAAAAGAAAAGGGAAAAGGAGAGGAAAAAAAAAAAGAAGGGAAATGGACCATTCGGCAAGATATTCAATACTATGTGAAAAAAATGGGATTTAAGAAGGTTCAAAGGCCATATAAAAAAAGTCTAAGATGATAAAGTTGCAAAATTAGAATTGTTTATAAAATATCTTTTTATATTATAGAGAGCCATATTTTACTTACCTGTAAATTCCATATCTTTTCGTATAGTACAGAACCCCCTCCACTGTTTTTGTGTTACTCTTGCTTACTGATGTTTCAGAGAGGGGGGTAGGATTATAGGGGTGCACTCGGGACATTTCCAGCAAATCTTTGCCAGTGTCAAGTCACCTGAAGGTACCAGCCTATTGCTTAGGGTCTATGAATATCCAGCCTAGGTCCTGTACTTTACTGCAAGATACAAAACGTACAGGTAAGTCAAAATTATATATATATATATATATATATATATATATATACATACACTGTATTGGGACACCCCTCCAAATCATTGGATTCAGGTGTTCCGATCACCTCAGTGGCCACAGGTGCGTAAGCACAGAATAGCACCTAGGCACATTTTGCACACTTTTACAAACAATTGTGAAAGAATGGGTCGCTCTCAGGAGCTCAGTGAATTCAAGCGTGGTACCATGATAGGTTGCCACCTGTGCAATAAGTCCATCCGTGAAACTTCCTAGCTACTAAATATTCCACGGTCAGCTGTTAGTGTTATTATAACAAAGTGGAAGCAACTGGGAACAACAGCAACTCAGCCACGAAAAATGTCAGCGTGCGGTCAGCGCATGCTGAAGCACACAGTGTGCAGAAGTCGCAAACTGTCTGTAGAGTCAATAGCTAAAGACCTCCAAACTTCATGTGGTCTTCAGATGAGGACAACGACAGTGCATAGAGAGCTTCATGGAATGGGTTTCCATGGCTGAGCAGCTATATCCCAGCCTTACAATCACCAAGTGCAATGCAAAGCGCCAGATGCAGTGGTGTAAAGCACGCCACCACTGGACTCTAGGGCAGTGGAGACGTGTTCTCTGGAGTGACCAATCACGCTTCTCTGTTTGGCAATGGTACTTGCTTGACTGAATTGTGCCAAGTATAAAGTTTGGTGGAGGGGGGATTATGGTGTGGGGTTGATTTTCAGGGATTGGGCTTGACCCCCTAGTTCCAGTGAAGGTAACTCTTAAGGCGTCAGCATACCAAGACATTTTGGACAATTTCACGCTCTAAACTTTGTGAGAACAGATTGGGATGGCCCCTTCCTGTTCCAACATGACTGCACACCAGTGCACAAAGCAAGGTTCATAAAGACATGGATGAGCGAGTTGGATGACATGGATGAGCCCTGTATTTGGTTCCTTGCATATTCCCATCAACTCTGACCAGCTTCTCTGACCCTATTGAAGGAAAGCATCCCTGCAACATGATGCTGTCACCACCATGTTTCACGGTGGGGACCGTGTCTTCAGAGTGATGTGCAGTGTTAGTTTTCCGCCACACAGCGTTTTGCTTTTAGGCCAAAAAGTAAAATTTTGGTCACATCTGATGAGAGCAACTCCTTCCACGTTTGCCGTGTCCCCCACATGGCTTCTCGCAATCTGCAAACGGGACTCTTTCAACAATGGCTTTCTTCCTGCCACTCTTCCATAAAGGCCATATTTGTGAAGTACACGACTAATATTTGTCCTGTGGACAGATTCTCCCACCTGAGCTGTGGATCTCTGCAGCTTCTCCAGAGTTACCATGGGCCTCTTGCTGCTTCTCTGATTTAATGCCCTCCTTGCCTGGCCTGTCAGTTTAGGTGGATGGCCATGTCTTGGTAGGTTTGCAGTTGTGCCATATTCTTTCCATTTTCAAATGATGGATTGAACGGTGTTCCATGAGATGTTCAAAGCTTGAGATATTTTTTTTATAACTGAACCCTGCTTTAAACTTCTCCACAACTTTATCCCTTACCTGTCTGCTGTGTTCTTTGGCCTTCATGATGCTGTTTTTTTTCACTAATGTTCTCTAACAAACCTCTGAGGGCTTCACAGAACAGCTGTATTTATACTGAGATTATATTACACACAAGTGGACTCTATTTACTAATTAGGTGACTTCTGAAGGCAGCTGGTTCCACTAGATTTTAGTTAGTGGTATCAGAGCAAAGGGAGCTGAATACAAATGTACGCCACACTTTTCAGATATTTATTTGTAAAAAATTTAGTAAAGCATTTATCATTTTCCTTCCACTTCACAATTATGTGCCACTTTGTGTTGGTCTATCACATAAAATCCCAATAAAATACATTTACGTTTTTGGTTGTAACATGACAAAATGTGGAAAATTTCAAGGGGTATGAATACTTTTTCAAGGCATTGTAGCATGCTTGTTGAAGCAAGCCAGCAAGTTCTTGTCCAATCCGAACCTCAAGGTGCTCAATGCTTATATTCGGTTCTGGAAATTCTTCATGGAGTTGACTAGGTATATTGTAGTATGTCTGGAAAAAGATAGTGTTCTG